CACTCCCAATTCAATCCAGGATTCCTGCCACTGGCCATGACCGAAACCCATCCCATTTAGACTCTATAGCTTTTCGCTGTATTGGTCACACTTGTTATGTCAAATAAGATTCCCACATGGCCCTCCTTCAAACACTAGTTCTTCAGTCACTTCCTCCTCACATTCTCTCTCCTTTGGTTTTAATCTAGCTTAGTTCACCTCTCTCTAACAGCCAACTCTACCATTTTCGAGTGTTCCTCATTTTGACCCTCTGTTATGCCCTTCCCTACTCACACCTTATAGTTTGCACCCGTGTTTAAGTCCTCTGTCTTCTCTCCATTCTTAGATTCTAGCCTCCATCTTCTCTCTCCATATTTTCATACAAGTCTCTCTAGGAAATGTCTTTCACTTTTAGCCATTTTAGCCAATCCTCACATGGCAGCTGCAATGACACACTATGCAATAAACTACGATAACTTATCTACACGTCATCCCTTCACTCATCATCTCTCTACAGAAGGAATAGATGCACAGTGCTTCAGCTGTCTACCCCCCGTCCCCAGAGTCCTCACCCACTCCCCCTCAAGTCATGCGGCAGTAAGAAAGAAAATAGACCAAGAAAAGCAAAGGAAATACTATATAGTTGAGGGCCCACAAGGCAGATGTGGAGTAGAGATCTAGAATGGGGAACCCTGTTAAATGACCCAGATTAGAAGGTCATTTTAAGAAAGGCAGGTGTTGCCTAGAAGGAGAAGGAAGGCCCACACTTGGGCCAAGTGGTGAGAACTTTGGGGGTGGGGGGAGACAGCTGAAGCACTGTGTATCTAATCCTGTCAACTACTTGGACATATTGTCACCCACACCCTCTAAGTAAGTCAAGTCTCCTCTCTCTAAAGCTTCCAGCAACCACTCTATCAGCATTCATCTTAGCTTCCTTATAAACTTTCCTGTCACCCAACTCCTTTAACAATTTCCTTCCAGATTGGAAGAGCTAATCTATGACTGCCTCCTACTCATGTTCTTGATCCTATCCTTATTCTTTATATTTCTCATTAAAATATTATTTTTACACCTAAAAGGTGACCAATTAGACTTTTTTGACTCTGACAGGGTTCTCCATTCTAGATCTCTACTCCACACCTGCCTTGTGGGCCCTCAACTATATAGCATTTCCTTTTCTTTGCCTTGTCTATTTTCTTTCTCACGGCCACATGACTTGTGGCCCAGGAATACTATCTTCTTCTTCCAGTTGATGGCTGTCATTCCTTAGTGACCACGTTTCTTCTGAGGGCAACTTTAATGTTGCTCTCCTATCCCTCTCCTTGTCCCCTATACTTGGGCTAGAGAAACACCTAATCTCCAGCATCCCTCCTGCCATGTGTGTAGCATCCTCTGGATTTAGCACTCCTTCCTGGTAGGTATATAATAGACTCGCCACTTTTGGCACACATTGCTCCACTGCTTTCATCTCCCTTGATTCCCTACACGCTAGATGCATGCATTTCCTTCCTAATTCAGTCCCGACCTGCATGGACTGCTGTAGTTAGCCTGGTGCAGACCTATCCCTTTTACCCCCTTTCTGATTTTTGCCCCATGGACCACATCCTGTTCTTTAATTATTATTCCAACAAAGCTTTCTGTAACCTCCTTTTCTTATTTAGAAACTTGAGACCTGGTGCACGAAATTCGTGCATGGGGGCGGGGGGTGTCCCTCAGCCCAGCCTGCACCCTCTCACAATCCAGGACCACTGGCTCCCAACTGTTTGCCTGCCCTCCTGATTGCCCCTAACCACTCCTGCCTGCCAGCCTGATCACCCCCTAACCACTCTTCTAACAGTCTTATTGATGCCTAACTGCTCCCCTGCAAGCCTGATTGTCCCTAACTGCCCTCCCCTGAAGGCCTGGTCCCTTCCAACTGCTCTTCCCTGTAGGCCTGGTCACCCCCAACTTCCCTCCTCTACTGGCCTGGTCACCACTAACTGCCCTCCCCTGCAGGCCTGGTCCCCTCCAACTGCCCTTCCCTGTAGGCCTGGTTGCCCCTAATTGCCTTCCCCTGCAGGCCTGGTCACCCCTGACTGCCCTCCCCTGCAGGCCTGGTCACCCTCTACCTGTCCTCCCCTGAAAGCCTGGTCACTCCTAACTGCCCTCCCCTGAAATCTTGGTCCCCTCCAACTGCCCTTCCCTGTAGGCCTGGTTGCCCCTAATTGCCTTCCCCTGCAGGCCTGGTCACCCCTGACTGCCCTCCCCTGCAGGCCTGGTCACCCTCTACCTGTCCTCCCCTGAAGGCCTGGTCACTCCTAACTGCCCTCCCCTGAAATCTTGGTCCCCTCCAACTGTCCTTCCCTATAGGTTTGGTCACCCCTAATTGCCCTCCCCTGAAGGCCTGGCTACCCCTAAATGCCCTCCCCTGTAGGCCTGGTCGCCCCTAACTGCCCTCTCCTGAAGGCCTGGTCACCTCTAAATGCCCTCCCCTGTAGGCCTGGTCGCCCCTAACTGCCCTCTCCTGAAGGCCTGGTCCCCCCCAACTGCCCTTCCCTGTAGACCTGATCACCCCTAACTGCCCTCCCCTGCAGGCCTGGTCACCCCTAACTGCCCTCCCCTGAAGGCCTGGTCCCCTCCAACTGCCCTTCCCTGCAGGCCTGGTCGCCCCCAACTTCCCTCCTCTACTGGCCTGGTCACCCCTAACTGCCCTCCCCTGCTGGCCATCTTATGGCAACCATCTTATGTCCACATGGGGGCAGGATCTTGTGTGTTGGAGTGATGGTCAATTTGCATATTACTTTTATTAGATAGGATAGTCTCCCTTCCTGTGATTGAGACCTGGTGACTCCCCACCATTTGCCACATCACGGGTTCTGTACCCTAGCCTAATTCCTACACCTCTCCCCTTACTTAGCTTCCAGCCTCCATCTCTTCTACTCTTCCCTGCTCTTTCCATACAGTTTCCTCAGTAGTCCTCTCCTTTGTCAGTTCTCACAAGAAAAGCCTCATCTCTGAGGACAGTTTTAATGTAGATCTTCAGCACATCCTTCTCTTATTCCATCATCTGCCTGGCTTTGTTTGTGTAGCAAAGGGTTTAAGTTGTTCTCTTGCCATAGAAAGATCCCTTCCCACCCCCCTTCTCCTCATGACTTAGTGTCAATCATCCTTTCTAGCAATATTGATACATCACTACCAATGGTTTTTACTGGATTTCACCTTCGATTCCCTGTGACCTCTCATTGTATCAACAAAATCTTTTCATCAAAAATTTACCACTAAAGTTTCAAGAACTTTTCTACTGATGGCATTCCTATTTGCTTCCTTATTCCGTGTCTACTTATCTCTTACTTACACATAGCATCTTCTGTCTTTACTTGTACATAAAACTCAACCAGTTTGCCGAGGCTGTGATCTACCATTATTCCTGCCTGTCTCCTTATTCCTCTTCCTCATTTGTCTGTATCCTCCCTGCTTAATCAGAACCAAACAGGGGTTTATATAATCTTGTATTACTAATGTCTATCCTGCCTCTCCAATTTTTTTTAACATATTTGTATTGATTTCAGAGAGAAAGGGAGGGGGAGAGATAGAAATATCAATGATGAGAGAGAATCATTAAACAGGGCATGTGCCCTAAGAATCGAACTGTGACCTCTTGGTTCATAGGTCGGTGCTCAACCACTGAGCCACACAGGTTGGGCCTGCCTCTCCATTTTTATTTGATCTTGACCTTTGTCCCTACCATAATCCCCTCTATCTCATTTCTTTGTTTTAAATACCTCAGCTGAGCTATTCCAGGTCTGTGTTAACTTACACCTTTTTCTTTCTTCTTCCTGCTTTCTTGACAGAAAACTCTAGCTTAATTTAACCACGGTCTTTCTTCCATTGACCTCCTATTGTCCCCTATTGCATTAAAATAGATTCTGTAGCCCTAGCTGGTTTGGCTCAGTGGATAAAGGGTGTCAGCCTGTAGACCAAAGGGTCCTGGGTTCGACTGAGGTCAAAGGCATGTACCTTGGTTGCAGGCTCCTCCCTAGCCTGAGCTCTTGTCAGGGTTCGTGCAGGAGGCAACCAATCAATGTGTTTCTCTCACAGTGATGTTTTCTCTCTGTCTTGCCCTATCTCTTCCACTCTCCCTAAAAATCAATGGGAATAAAATATCTTTGGGTGAGGATTAACAACAAAAAAAATAGATTCTGTCATCTTGAAAGGTATACTCTTTCTATATGGGGTAATTCACCACCATCATTTTCAATGCATTCTACTACATTTGTTTGTTCTCTAAATTCAGACCTATTCTTCATAGGACTGCCTAAGCTCACCAGAGCCTATTGGAAAATATCTAATCCCCTAGGTATTTCAAATATGTTCCTAAACAGTCTCTCTTCTCAGCACCTGTTCAGTAGCATCTCTCTGATTTCCATCTACCCTCAGCTTTTCTGGCCTCTTTCCTTTAGCTCATCTACCTTGCTCTGCTCACATCTTTTGAGATCCAATTAATTCACCCATACTTAAAAAATCCCCTCCTTCAGGCGGTTCAGAAAGTCCCCTTTTCATGTTCACTTTCCAAAAATGTGTCCCTACCTCCATTTCTAATTATTTCCTCCAGTTATCTCAAAACATATTAATTTCCCACTTGCTTTTGCATTGAAGACACTGACTACCAATACTAGCACCTCCTTGCTAACCTATTCACTGAAGGTTGAAAGTTGACAAAAAAAAAAGTTCATTCTAGTGATCTGTGGACCCACAATCTAAAACTAGTATCTGTTAATATTTAGACTTATTGTGCTTTGTGTTAATGATCAGTGTGCTTTTTACTATTCATATTTTTTTTTGTTTGCTTTGTCATCTGCTAGAGTAGTGGTTCTTATATTTTCCACATGTAGTCCCCACTTGACAGGCATTGGCAGAAAGCTCCCCTGCTGCTTCCTTTATACTACTACAAAAATAAAGTTTTGCCAATGTCTTTTTTGTGCTATTCTAGCTCACAGTGGGGAGTGGATTTTAAAATGATACTTTGTGAGACTGCCTTTTGACCAGTATACAGTGTGCTTTCAAGTACTACTCTGAAAACAGTGGTGTGTGCTTCGCTTGATGATACAGAACCCTGTGCCAAGTGCAGGTGGTGCCCCCTCAGTTATCAGGGAAACTTTGTGCTTGTGCTGCCCACTGACACTGGTCTGCCTGCTCTTTCTCCTCCAGTTGCCAGCACCTTTAGCTGCACCTTGAAGTTTACTGTCCGGGACTATGACCCTGACTCGGGAGTTCCAAATGAGGAGGGCTATGAGGATGAGTATGTGGTGAGTGTTGCCTGCACAGTCACCTGGACACCCTTGCACAGCTGACTTCTGCCTGAAGAGAACATTTTTCTAGGGACATCTGACATGAACCAAGGGGGTTCTATTTCCTCACATTACAACTGCGTGGGCCTGGACTAACCCTCCTCTGCGGTGGGAGTAGGTCGTGCCTGAGGGTAGTGACCGCTTCCTGATCAAAACAACTCACCCTTTTCTATGTCTTTATAAGAGGGATAATTACAAGATGAAAATACGTACATGACTTTCATTGAGATCAATGAGCTTTATTTAAAGTATTGGGATTGTTTTGTTGAGAAGCTTTTAATTTGTAATGTGGCTACATCATGGACTGAGTGACTTCATAGAATGCAGGCAAAAGATGATGAAATATCAACCTGTTAGTGAATGCTAAGTTCAGAAGGCCCTGGATGGCTTGAACTTGGTTAGGTGTGACCTCATGACTGTTTTGTACCTCAAGGGTGTAGATGTTGATCTGAATATTGCTTTTGCTATATTTTCTTGCTTTTCTTTTCTAAGGCCCTACATCTTTATCCAGACTATGGACTTGAACTAGTTTGGTAATAGTGTTTCCTAAGCTCCTGCAAAGGATGATCTCAGAATGATAATACCCTTTTAGCCCCTCCCACTTTGTCCTGCCCTTAAAGAACTGTTGCTTACTGACCCCTGCCTGTGCCCACTAGCTGGAAGATCTGGAAGTGACTGTGTCTGACCACATTCAGAAAGTTATGAAGCCCAACTTTGCTGCTGCCTGGGAAGAAGTAGGAGATACTTTTGAGAAACAGGAGACCTTTGCCCTCAGTTCTACCAAAACTCTTCAAGGTGAGAACAATTTTGCTAGCAATGTGTTGCCCGACAGCAGTGTAAAACCTAAGAGGCATATGTATCATTCCAGAACACTTGGTATTGATGCTGCATAAACTAAGTCACCTAAAAGGCTAGGACCTGTCATCTAATTCCAGCCCGGTGGCCTCCATCCACTGTGGCACCACCCTTCTAGCCCCAGCTCCCAGTGTGTAGTGATGCCGAGGCAGACCCCTGTGCTGACCTTTCCTGATACTGTGGCATCAATCTTGTCAACACAGAAGCTGTCAACAACATCATTACATTCCTGGGCATGCAGCCATGTGAAAGGTCAGAGAAAGTTCCCGAGAATAAGAATTCCCATTCTCTCTTCCTGGCAGGTAAGGAACTTTATCGGATTTCCCTTTATTTTGTTGCAAGGTTTAATAGAAAGGGCTGCCATTGTCCTGCCTTTTGTCCCATTGTATGCATTACAATTTGAAGCCCTGTCACAATGAGCAATCTGTTTTAGCTGTTTAATTTGCATGCTATCCTTAGTTTGTTCTTTTAAGATGTATATTTGGCCTAAAACACTTAAATCTCTCCCTTGGATACTAGTGCCACTACCTCCCCCATTTAAGTTCTCGAAACCAGTATTCTTAATACCTTCTATGTACCTGGTATCATGGGAATATAAAAGGTTATTTCAAATTTGTATGTAGGATGCAATTCCTACCATAAACACAAAGGTAAACAAAAAAATAGAAAGGAAACGCAAGCAGAGCATGATACATTTCATCAGTCAGTTTGTTTTGAGTCCTCAACATGGTTTTCCTCACTTTGTCCTCTCAGGTGTATACAGAGGTGGCTATGATTTATTGGTGAGGGCCAAGCTGGCCTTAGCGGATGGAGTGACCATGCAAGTGACTGTCAGAAGCAAAGAGGAAACACCTGTGGATGTCATCTTGGCTTCTGTTGGATAAGTGCTTACTGGGCAAGACAAAGTTGATGTACTTCACTGTCGGTGGGCTTTAGGCTAATGGCATGAATTTCCCAGAATCCCGCTTCTAAAGATTAATGATTCTGGAGAAGCTAATTAAATGTTTGGCCCTGAGCCAGCAGATCAAGCAAACGTCTGTCTTTGTGCATGTCTTTTTTTTTTTTTTTGTCTTTTTTTCCTTTTTGTTCCATTGGTCGACTTTGGTGTGACAGTACAGCTTTGGGTGAACATGTAAAGCAAAATACTATCCTATACCCCAGCTGCTCAACTTCATTATATTCTTTAATGGAATGTGTATGAGAGCTCCTGGCAATGTTGGAAAACTTTATCCCGGAGGGATGGTGGGGAGGGGAAGGCAGAGTCCACTTTTGTCAAAATTCATTTTATTAATAGAAAATAAACACTTATTCCACTTTCAATTGTTATACTTGAAGTTGCTAATTTAAAAAAAAAAGAATTTAAAATAATCACCTAATCCTACTTAGACTAAAACAATGAAAACTGTGACTTTAAAAAAAGTATTCAGCACCTTTTTCTCACAGGCCTTTCAGAATTTGTTCTTAAAGTTTCTGGAACTTTCCTGTCTGTAAAGAACAGGAATTGCAGAGCTACATGAGGAAGCCTCTCTGGGACAACCAGTGAGAAGTAAGCACTCATAACAAAAGGAATCCGTGTGCCCTCCGCGTGGGAACTGGGACTGCACAACGCTCCCCTCCCCTCCACGTTAGCTCAGGAGGGATGTGCTTCGAAGCAATGAGGTATGATGAAGCAGACTGTTATTTGCTGTTAGAACTGGGTCTTTCCAGCTAATAACAGTAAATCTCTGGCGGAGATGTGATGGTCCTTAATGTCCCGTGACTTTGGGGAGATTTTTTTAAGTTTGGATTTAGTTTAACTTATTCCGAAGTCAAATATGTTTAATAAGGTTCATTACTCTGCCAGAGTGAGTGTCTGCTGGTGTAGTACCCTTCTACAATAGATACCACACGTGTCAGTAAATCACAGTCGTAAAGTACACTTAGAATACTGCATTATGTAAAGCTGCATTATGTAAAGCAAAATCTATTTTAACAAAACGTCTACAACTAGATGCAGCTGAGGAAACTAAGCCAAAGTTATGACAGGGGAGACGCACTCTCTCCTGAAGCTGCTTAGAAAACAAAAAAGCATGTGCCCCTAACGCCATTCAAGGAGAGGCTAAGCAGCCAGCCTCTCCTCATTCTGTACAAGATTCCAGTTGGGGCTGGGCCAGAAATTACACTTCTAAGTATTTCAGAAAAGTCCACAGAAATGTTGAAAGTCTTATGCAAAAGAATATTTGTCTCTCTGCATCCATCAGACTTTCCTAATAACACAAGGCAAGTCCATCCACTTGATCAGATGTCAAAGGAATGGGAGATGGACTATCAGATCACCCTTAATCAGACCTCAACTGGCTTTTTCCTATATGCTGCTCACCAATGTGAGTCAGGTGGACCTTTGTGAGAAGTGTTTGGTGGCCAGGACCTCTTTGGGGCATTTCTTTCTAAATGGAATACACAACAGGTAAGGGAGTAGGGTAGGTAATACAGGGAAGCTACTCTCTCCAGCTCAGAAGGAGTTGATGAAGCCCATATATGCATTCAAGAAGCCCATGGGATCCTCTAGCTGTGGGTAGTGGCTAATGTGGTCATCCAGAATCGACACTGTGGACCGCGGCAGCGTTTTCCTAGTGGAAGAGAACAGCATGTAGGTGAACTTGAGGCTGGAGGTAGGGGGAGGAGGTAAGCCAGTGGGCAACCCTAGTTAATGTCCCTGCGGACATACCACACTGGAAGGAACCAACAAAGAGCTTATTCAGCTTCTATTTTGGAATTGTGTCTTAGGCAGGTAAACTTACCAATTCCATTTATGACTATATACAGACTAGGTCTTACATGTTCATAAGCCAACAGACAACTTAAAAAGAAAACACTTTTGCAATACATGTCAAAGCCGGATGACTTCGAGCTCTTTAGAGAAGCGTGAGGCATCCAATAAATGGACCACTGTCCAGGTAAGGATAACGAAAGACCTTCCTTAACCGAGAGAGATGAGAGAGGGTATTTTGTTGAAAATTAAATGCAAGCTTTTTACAACTGGATTATTTCTACTAGGCCATATGAAGGATGGAACGTTCTTATGGAACAAACAAAATCAGTCAAGATTTCATAGTCCAACCTTCTGAGTAAGTAAGTACCTAGAGAAAATGACCACCAGTGAGGAGGCACTTTTTCAGTGAGCTCCTCTCCATCTCTCCCTGCAGATGCTCAGCTTAAGCTGTTGAGCTGGCTTTTGCAATGAGATTACAGCAAACATTTTTATCAACTTTACACACTTTCATTCCTTATTTCACATAATAGCATTTTCTTACCTGTCCACATGTAGCATGTATACAATAAAAACAGGCTCAAGAGAGTATATAACAATTATACATATATACACACAATAAAAACAGGCTGTATAACTCAAGAGAATGTATAACAATTTTCTGACTTTACATTTATGTGAGAATAATATTCCTCAGCTCATCTTTTATCATATGTTTCCTGGATGACCAGCCACTGAGGCCAGAGACAGTGGCCAGAGCACTGTCGGGAGGAGGAACTAGCAATACGAAGCCCCTGAGGGAGGCTCACCTGTACAGCTCCAAAAACTCTGGATAGGGAGTCACCGGATCGAAAGGCCCGTAGATAAAATGAACTGGAAACGAGAAAAGGATCTAATTACTAATAGCTTGCGCATCCATTCTACCCCAGACTAAAACTACCCCTCCAGAACAAATTATGATAAAAATCTAGCTGCTTTCAATAAGTAGGTTATAAGAAACTTCCGGAAATAAGCTGACAACTGAGTCCACTTGGGACATTTTCTCTGTACACAGCCAGCCAGCCAGCCCCGAGCAGCATTCTCTCTAACTCCAGGATATGTCATTCTTAAAGTCTATCTTTTAGCAATAAATGACCCTTGACATCCTCTGGTTTCTGAACACTAACTTTTATATGAGACATAGCACCTATTTTTCTTTTTTTTAATATATTTTATTGATTTTTTACAGAGAGGAAAGGAGAGGGACAGAGAGCTAGAAACATCGATGAGTGAGAAACATCGATCAGCTGCCAATGTACATGCCCTTGACCAGAATCGAACCTGGGACCTTTCAATCCGCAGACTGACGCTCTATCCACTGAGCCAAACCGGTTTCAGCTTTTTCAATGTGTAAGAATTAAGGGACAAATGAGCAGAAACCACGTATAGGTTCTTGATTAGTAATTTAAACAGCCTTCTGTCCCAGAATTCAGCATTTAATGTGATGTCACTGGTAATGCACGGTAGGAAACCAATCTAACTCCCACTCCAGGCCGTGCTATGGTAGTTACCTTAGCAATAGTATCTCTCAGTGCTTTATATACTTCACTCTATTGCCCAGAACCCATGCTCCAGATGTTGGAGAAGGTCACCAAATTAAATAAAGCATGACCAGCTGCATTTCAGATAGTGATTTTTAAAATATTTTTATTGATTTCAGAGAGGAAGAGAGCAACATCAATGATGAGAATCATTGATTGGCTACCTTCTGTACATCCCCCTACTGGGGACCGAGCCTGAAACCCAGGCATATGCCCTGAATAAGAATTGAACCATGACCTCCTGGTTCATAGGTTGATACTCAACCACTGAGCCATACTGGCTGAGCTGTGGTTTGTTTTTTTTTAATGTATCAGTATGTCCTACATATAGCACAGCACATACTTTTCCTTAAAAAAAAAATAGTTGTTTATCTGAAATTCAAATGTAGTTTGGTGTCTTTATTTTATTTATATTTGCTAAATGGGGCAATTATTTTAACCCTCGTCCCTCAGTTTTCCTATCAAGATGTAATATAGAAATACTCACTGGGAATAGTTACAGTGGCCAGAGCTCCCACCCAGCGTCTTCTAAACTTCTTCCTCTGGTTGATGTACTGCAAGAGACTGCAGGACAGGTAAGTTAGTAGGAGAAGAAGAAACTCGTATGGTTAGAGGGGCACAAAGGCCTGCCATGAGCCACAAGGAACCCAGGATGTGTTTTCATCCAGAGCAACTTGGCACACCTGGGACTGGCCGGCTGAGTTTCCTCATTCCTGTTCACCTCTACGATTAACCTCCATGCAGCTGCAGCAGTCATCATGACTACCAACGTAAGAATTAATGTTCTTTAGTGTTCGCCAAACAGGAACTGGGATGGAGGAAGGCTGGGAGTCAGCCAGGGTTATGTGTAATGAAAGGCCAGGCTCAGATTGTGCCTCCACCACTAATTCTGTAACTCAAAGGTCAAACACACATCTTTTGACCAGTTTCCTCCTCTTTAAGAATAAGAGAACTGAACTACACGATCGCTAAATTGGCATCTACTTCTAACGTTCTAAGTGTAGAAGTTCCTAAGCACAAAGTTCCATTCTCTGCATTTCATCTGACCACAGATAAAAATGGAGAATTTCTCCAACAGTGACAAGCAGCCATAGCCACATTTTAGAACTCAAACTCATATTCTAGTTATTCTGCCTGGAAACTCCAGGAATTATTTCTAACAGTGATAGTTGAGTTTCCTAAGTGCTTTTTACATTTTGGAGAAGTGTATGGAAATGTTAAAAAAAAAAAAAGGGGGGGGGGGTTGTTTTGCAATTTTTTTATAGAGTGAGCAACATCAATGATGAGAATCATTGATCGGCTGCCTTCCGTATGCCCCCTGCTGGGGACCGAGCCGGGGCGGGAGGGAAGAATGGCTCTCCCCCCCTCACAATTCCCAGCAAAACCATCAGTTAAAGCCATGGAAGCTACGCTGACCGAGCTGGCCAGAGGACTGAACTTATCTCGAGTAGCTATGGACATCACCACCTCCAGCCCCTTGGAGAAAGCGGCATCTGAACCAAGGGCGTGGGAACTCTTGGTACAAGGCCGCGAAATCTCCCTCCGGTCCCTGTTGCTACAGAAGAGAGATGAAAAAGAAAGAGGCTGGCACTCTGAGAAAGGCACTAAATGCCTTTCATAGCTATGATTAGACATGTTGAAGCATTTATAATAATATTAACAAAAAGTCAGAAGAAGGATTTGCCAAAGCCAATCAGCAATTAC